TGCCAGTCTATAAAGCAAGCACACAGTTCTTCATCTATCTCCAAAGTTCTTTCTGCTATAATTCTCGCCATCCCAATTGCACCCCTGGTTCCTTTTACTCTTCTAAATCCAAACTGATCCTCTCCATGTATATCCCCTATTTTCCATTCAATTCTTCTTTTAAGTATCTTTGCTATTATCTTTGCTGTATGTGCCATAAGGTTTATTGTGCGATGGTCGCTGCATTTTGTAGCTTTTGTCTTTTTCTTTAAGGCAATCATTGTCGCTTCTGAAAAGTCCTTGGGCCACTCCCCAGTTTCATATATTGTGTTTATTAGTTTTGTCAGTGTTTTCAAACCACCTTCTCCCAGTAACTTAAGCACATCTCCAGGTACATCATCATCTCCTGTAGTCTTTCCATTCCTCATGTCCTTGATAGCTTTTTCCACCTCACTTTGAAAATATATGGTCCTCTCTCGTCTGCATCTACTTCTTCCGGTTCAACTTCCAAGGTTTCTGGCCGATAAGGTCGATCACCTAATACGTAACATAAATTAATTTTAATATACTGTGCTTTGGGAAACTTAACCGGAAAATGTACTTGTACTACACAACTGATGGTCTCGCCAGTTACGTGCTAGCGGCGAACTGCAGCCTCGTTTCTCCGTCTATTGTCTTCTTTTTAGGGTTACTTATCTTCACTCTGCATTTTTACATAATGTGAGATAATGCGATTCCACAAAAGACACATTTTAATACAGATATATCTCACAATCAAAAGAACAACAAATATTTATAGGCCAGCAAATTAATTATTCAACATAAAATGTAAACCACGGAAGTTGACGCTATGCATGAGTACTGTCACACATTACAAAGGCCAGTATACCTGCCGACTAAAATGTAAACACATTTACTTTCTATATCCAACACCCAACCATTTTCAGACAATCGTTATTTTGGTCAAAATATAATTCAATCAGTTTTCATAATCTGCATTCATCCTACATGCGTGACTACAAACTAAAGTTACACATTTGTTAAATTTGCTATTGTAAGAAAAATATAAGACCGTTAAATGGCTTGTAAAATAAAAGCACAATCTGGAATAGTGAAACAAAAAGTTCAATTTTTCAAAAATATCTTCACAGCGCTTATGACTGCAGTGGTGGGATAACGAGATATTTCTATTGCCTGTACTATTGTTAGGCACAATTAGCATTTAAGTGTAGAATCTGATAACAAACAAAAGAGCATTAACGATAGGTCTCATAGGGGTGAGAGGGCAGAGGCCGAAATTTACAAAATAAACAATGGAGTGTGTTTGCTAGCGGTTTTCCACATTTGACGCACTGGCAACAGACAGAGGCGTAAAAAGGAGAAACCCCCCTTATGAGACTTTCGCGTGTAAAAACCACTATAAAATCTATCAGACATTCTCAAGTTTAACAGCAGTTTGGCCAGTTAATATCATGCAGAAAGACGAGAAATAATGTACGTTGTACCCTGTTGTGTATTTGGAGAGAGTACCAAAGGAAGCTTTCAGTGTCGGATGGTAGGATTACTGAACTGGACAGGGCGTGCAAGGAAACTGCCATGACCAAAATGAAGTAACATGTTGGCATGTTCCTGGAAGAGCTGAGGGAAATCAGTTAGACATGTGTGGAAATGGCCGAGATTCGAACCCAACACATCCCGGATACAAACGCAGAACGTCACCTCTAGATCACCTAATTTGACGTCGCCTTGTACTTCTTACTATAGATTCTGGGTTTATTAAACGACGCCTTTCTACAGCATTAAATCGTGCCTATTAGTTAAAACTCCTATTCAAACATTGAAATGAACCTCATGAAAACATTTAATACCTGCTAATTCTGCAGTGACATTGGCAGGATGTGATACACAGTATTTCATATTGGATCCATATTTCCTAAGCCACTGTGAAGCCGAAGAAACGTGTATGAAATCAGGATATGAAGCTTACAATATTATTCATTCTGGAGTTACTACAACATGGGGCCGCGCCATAGCTCAAGCGATTAGTCGCTGGCTTTCCACCGCGGGGGCCCAGGTTCGATCCCGGGTCTGGTCAAGTGGGATTTGTGGTGGACAAAGTGGCGCTGGGGCAGGTTTTCTCCGAGTACTTCGGTTTCCCCTGCCAATCTTCATTCCATCATTTGCTCCACAATCACCCTCGCCTATCATCTGGGACTGGTACAATAGGCCAGAAGTGGCCGCAGTACAAGGGACTTAGTCCCACCCCACTAGCAATAAAAAGAAATACCACAATATGACTCAGACATTCATCTATGCAAAAACCAGCCATTTATAAAACGAAACATTGCAATTCAAAAAGGTATCCACACCTGTTGCAGCCGGATACCATTCTACTACGCAGATATCTCTATGCGTACCGAAAAATGCAAAGTTACGGTGGTCAGTTGGAGAAGGACTTGAGATTCTCATAGCACTGGTTACGAAGAATTCTGGGACATGCCATGTAGCCCGCTGGAATTCAACCGACGTTGAGGAAGAATATGTCTCCTCCATCTTCAGGATCAAGGAATAAACGAAACAAGAAACCACCTGCTTCACGCTAATTTCCCTTTCTGCTTATTCTTCGACCTTGAAGATGGAGGTGGCATGTTCTTCCGCAACGTCGGTTGAATTTCAGCGTAATACACGACATTATGCCCCAGGAGACAAAACTCAACCAGAGGGATGCTCCTTGAGTCAGCCATCAACAAGGAGTTTCTGTGACAATTCGATTAGGACAGGAAGGGTGTATCATATACGAGTAAGTAGAAGGGGCAGTTACTTGTGCACTGACGAAATGAAATATATATTTCTTAATCAAATGTCAACCCTCCCCCACCACCCGGAAATTAAATCCTAAATACACAACAGCAACAACCGCATTTACCGAATTTAAATTTCTTGCGTACGTTTTTCGTTCTTTGGCAGATTATAAGCGACAGAAAGTCGTATTCCTGAAACCACAAGCCGCCTCCTTTCCTTCGTCCATATCTTTTCATAGACATGTTTACACTTCCATGCATAAGCAGAGGAGCTGTGATAAATAAATGAAAACTCCGTGACCTGTAGTTCGCAAGAGAACTATATCGACACAGCCACCGCCGCTTGTCGGCGAAGTTAGTGCCAACTTTAGAGGATATAGGGTGTCACGTGGTCAGCGCAACGGATCCCCACGGCCGGTAATCTCGTTTTTCTAGACCGGAGCCGCTATTTCCTTGAAATAGCCCCTCGGTTATCCTCACGAGGCTGAGTGGACACCGTTCCAGACCCACTACTTCTGGAGGTGTAGGCAGGAACTCTGACCACTAGACCACAGAGGTGGTCTGGAGCTACGATAAATGACTCTTTTTTAGATCGTAAGATGAAGATGTAAATGATATAATAAACCGGAATAAATCAGTCGGCATAGCGACTGGTCTACGAGATGGACGACCGGGGAGACGGAGTTCTATTCCCGGAAGGGTCAAGGAATTCATCTCTTTATCATTAGGTCCAGACTAGTTCTAGGACCCATCCAGCTTCCTATAAAATAGGGACCGGAAGCTGTTTCCCTAGGGGTTAAAAGCAAGGGCTGCAAGTTGACTCTTCACTTCCATTATTACAGATGTTAAGAATGGTGGAGCTATACTCCACTCCCCTATATGCCTTCATGACGTGGTGCTTAATTAAGGTCAAGGAGAGTATTTACCTTTACTGTAAAGCCGAGTTTTAATGACACAAAAATGTCATTAGGGTACTGCAAAGGACCTTTTGCCCTAGATCAGACATTCTTTTTCCTTGGGAAGTAACTGACTTGAGGCCGTTGAATATACTTTTCAGTGATATCCTCAATATAGACAATGCCTATGAAACAGGATACGAGAGAGAGAAAAATAATGGGNGGGGGGGGGGGGGGAAGAGAAACTGAACATGCGAACTGTAAAACTAAATCAGGCGAACTT